TTTTTTTTTTTTTTTTGAATCTCCTTGTGATACAAACTTAAATAAGACAAGATCCAGCCATCATGCCAGAAATAAACTGGGTGGGGACTAGGCAGCTCTGAAGCTGTGAGTGTCCTGTTACTAGGAGGGCACACTCTATCAGCTGTGCTCATAGAGGCCAAATAGGGGGGAGTTCAGTTTCCAAGCTGTGCTGCCAAATTTGTGCCTGGCTGAGGAACAAGTGTTAGATCTCCTGAGGAACATTGCTTGGCACTGATGTCAAGGGTTCCTGTGTGTATAGATTCATTTTGGTCCCTGTAGAGGCATAAAATGCACGTCTGAAGCCAGATGAATGGTTTGTAAAATGTAATTTTGCAAACACATAATRTTTGCTCATGTAATACACAAATCAGTTGGCTTGACTAAAAATACAACTGATTTCCTTAAAAACAATATCACTTATAGATGGAAAAGCATTGACACATCCTACAACAGGTTTTGAGGCACCATCATAYCCCACTCTGAGGGCAAAGTGAGACTTGCAGAGAGTGAATCCTCCGACAAGATCATATTATGCTTGAATCACAGAAATTTGTATGTCCTGGGGAGGCAGCTCAAAGCAGAGCCTGAGGGCCACCTTGGTGGCCTGGCACTACACTTTGCCTTACAKGGCTAATTGCCCAAACTTCACCAGGGCAGTGGGCAATTCCCACAATTGGTGGGAAGCGGTTCCTCTGTTGGCACTTAGTGCAAATTCCCTCCTAACTGTCTTGTAGCAGCTCCTTTTTCAGCTGATCTATGCTGGGTTAAACCGCAGGTGCTCACCTAAACAAGGGCATGAGCTGGGATCTGCAATATCTCACACAAAACCCCTGGAGGTAAAGAGCTGACCAGTGTCAGTAGTTGACCTTCATGAGCTGACCAGCTCGGTGCAGTAACCTGGTCCCTGCAATGTGGGCTTTGGAAGTCTCTGAGGATTGTACCTGACATTGTACCACACCCCCAACACTCTGCTTTAGGGGACACATGCAGCCTGTTCTCTTTTTTCTCCCTTCTCCATTCTCCTGGCACAAGAAAGCTTTCCCTCAGAGAAGACTTTGCTGGCTGRTTGCTGGTTGCCTGGAGAGTCAGAAGTGGAGGACCAGGGCTATGGGAGCACCGATGCAGCAGAACTTGAAAATCCATTTCATTGCTGTTTAAGTTTTCTCAGTTGAAAGTTTTTCTGTCAGGGAAAGTGTCGTGTTTAATATTTCAGAAAAGTGCCCCATCAGTTTCATGGTTAAATGATATTTTTGAAATAATTTGGTAGCCTAGCTCATTTATCACAGCAATGAAACMGTCCTTAACCAGGAAAGGATTAACTTTATCCATAAAAATCTGTCTACAGGTCGAGTATTGCTTCACACTTTTGCATGAGTCCTTTGTTCATCAGAGTTTGCTRGAACACGGTGTTCATCTTTGCCATGGCATAGACCTCTGTGCTCTTGCAGAACACCAGTTAGGCTTCTTTAGAAATAAATTACTCCAAYACCTGCATCCCACAGCCTCTCYCCTTTATGACTAATAAACACAATTMAAGTATTCCAATGTTCAGAGTGCAAACCACTTCAAAACACTGTTCAGGGCTCATGTTCTCATTGTGTCAGGCTTTGTAGAGACAATGGGAGAAGAGACAGGTTTTTCCCAGAAGAGCTCACAGACCTGATTTGCATATAGCTTTCTGTGGATGAGGGGAAAAACTTTGAGGTGAGAGGGAAGATAAAGTTTGCTGCCTAAATTTATATAAGTGCAAGATCTTTAGAAAGGAGCTGAATTATGTGAACAATTCCTGGATGAGATTAAGAAGAGGAGATAAATATCATCCTCAATTCAAATTTTGGCTTTATCCCCATGTTTGATCYGACCAAAATCACACTCATACTGACCTGTATCTGATGTTTCTGCATCTCATTAGATCAGCACTTTGACTGACAACATAAGCACGACCCAAAYTCATTTACCTGTGAGTTCCTCATTGGGCCAGGAGCCGAGCTGGCAGGCTTTGCATGTATATTCATCAGATACGTATTCGTTCTCCTTRCAAGGAGTGCAGGTCCAACAGCAACTCACTTCTCCTTTCCGGATCACCTGAGATAAAAATTGACATTTGTTTTAGCAGCATAAACATACATTCATGCTGCCTCAGTTGATAATTTCATTTTTTAATCTCTCTCTTTTTTTTAATATAAGGGTTTTTAAAATTTTATTGTTTCTTTTCATGATATGTTTTTGTATATAAAATTAGACAAATATTCTCAGTTCTCCCATCATGTATGTACCAGAAGAAAGAAACCACCAATCCCAGAGAAGTATAAGTGGATGTGCAGAATAAGAAAAAGACATTTTTTCCATCTTAGAATTTGCAAAGCTGAAAATTTCATAGATGTCAGTGTGCCAACAGAAGCCAGTGCAAGACACTGAGGACACACAATTCACTCCAACGTGGTCCATATGGAGAATCATGTCAACGGAATTATGTCCCTAAGCGTTAATTCTCTAAGACTTTTGGGTGCTTGTTTTTCATTCAATAGWGAGTGATTTATTAAACTGAACATGCCTTTCCCAGAATTATTTCATTACTGCACTTTTAATTGCCATTTAAGGGTGAGAATATTATCTTTCTCCATTCTAACATCTGACCTGATTTCTCATTTMATAATTTACTTTCAAATGTTACTGCATGCTTAGGATTGAAATGCAGATTTTTCAAGATCATTATTTATCATCTCTGGGAACATCTGTGCTTCTTGTCAATATGTCTTTCTTTTGAAATAAAGTATTCCCGGTTTCTCTGCTCTTCCCAAACAGTTTATAAACAAATGCTCCCAATTATAGCATAAGAAGTAGGTTGACTTTTTTATCTTTTGCAATGATGAATTTAGGGAATATATTCAAATCCAGATGTCTTTATTGTAATTTTAATTAAAAAGAATCCCAACATGTAAAGAAGTGCAATCAAAAAGAATTGGGTTGCTCTTTGCAACGCTGCAGTGAGAAAAAGGTATATTATRTCATTTTCACGGCAATATGGGGGCTTGAAAAACTTCAGATTTTGTGGTTTGTTGGTTTTTTTTTTTTTAAAAATTGTAGAGTATGAAAAGAAAAATAGCAACACCTAAACGGCTAAACTGATGGAAATGCTGTAGGAGCAACCGTGATTTATTCTGCAAGTGCTGAGAGGGGACCTGCTTGCAAAACAGAATATCTGTCTTCCAGAATAATTTATCTTGAGATTTCTTTCATTTTGAAATAGAATGAAAAGTTGAAGAAATGATGATATTTCTCATATTTGGAAAAATCAAGTTTTAGAAAGCTTGTACTAATTTCTAGGAGCATATTTTGATAAACTTAACACATTAAAAATGTCCATAATTTTACAATGCATAAAATAGTTAATAACATTAAATGAAAGAATTGAAACCGTATGTTATTAGCAGAACAACTAAAATTCTATATGAACAATTAATTTAGGCTTTTCTGTTAAACTTTCCAGCAAGTTAAGATCTTCTGTAAAATACTTGGAATTTGGCAAATCGATCAGGAGACTGGTACACTGGTAATTTCTTCCGCAGGACTGCCAGAGAAGGATTATGTATCGTTCTCTGGGAATCAAGATATTTGTTCTCCAATGCTCACAGTAAAGGCAGGTTGTTGATTTTTTWAATTGCTTAGTCAGCAATTTATTCATCCTTTTATTTTCCGTTTCCTAAACAATTCTTTGTTGTATCTCTTRACTGCAAACAAATATTTTCTGTCCCTTTTAACATAAATAATTCTCTTTAAAACAAAAATTGTTTTCCTTTCCCCTTGTCACCTGGTCAATCCTTTCAACTTCTCTTTATTTAAATAATCATACATCCTCACTATTTCAAATGTATAGAGTTGGGTTTTGTTTGGATTTTATCAATCCTTTGGATGGATTCACCAAATGTTGTTGAATGTTGGATAGCTTTACACTTATTGTTTCAAAATCCTCCATTGTAACTCAGTCCCACAGAAGTTTGCAGGAAAACCACCACAAAGCTTGGTAAGGTCAAGCTCTCAGCATCATCWTTGAAGACCATAAAGACTGAGAGGTAAACTTTGAGATTTATAATCAATTACCTAACGAGGAGCAAACAAAACATTTCAGATGTTGGATTTCGAGCATGTATCTAAGTGTGTGTTGACTTGGCTTCATAGTGAAGAATCCTCTTAGGAGAATCCTTGAGAGCAWGGGCAGAAGGTGGAAGGAGCCTGTGTTAATGAAGATCACAACATGCTTCCCATCACCTGTGCTGTGCCAACTGATCACGAAGGAACTCAGAGCCATAGAGTTCTGAAAATGTTGGCTGCTTGTCCACCTCTATCCTGCCCACATGTGGCTTTGTGGCTGGAGCAGGCKACAGCAGCCCCCTGTCAATGGCAGAGGCAATAACTCACACCTCCTGCCTTTGTGTGCCTGCTCTCATCCGAGCCAAGCATGCTATCCAGGAGTCTTTTACCACAAATGAAGAGAAAGAAGTCTTTTTATACCCAGCTCCATCTTAACTGTTTTCAAAGCCTACACAAGGATGACTCCTCATCTAGAATAGCATATTCAGAAATCTGACATAATTCCCTGTGCCTACACCGAAGACAAATACAGTCATTCTGATGAAACTCMCTTAATGACTATGTCAAAGACTAATTAGTGAATAAAACATGGTAAACATGCCCTGAAACTCTGTAAAACTCAGAATAAAGAGATTCACTTTGAGTTGCTGAGACTGGTCCTGCTCTCATCAGCCCCTCTCTGCAACTTTTTCCCAATTTTCAGCCATGCTGTTCAAACACATGAGAAGAATRAGCTTCTAGGGAGGCTTGTCAGAAATTACACCTGATTTATTTCATAATTGAACATGCCCAWCCCTTCAATCCACTTTTATATAAAGGACTGCAAGGTCAGCTAATGACTTGCAGTATTTTAGCTGTTCTGCAGGAAGTRCCATGGGATGCTGAAGGAAAATAGAATCTGATTAATATATGACAGATTCATCTACGCTCCTTACTTACTGTAGCATGGAGAGGGTGGAATGAAAAATCAAAAACCTGGGAAACAAAGATGCAGTAAACCAGTTATGATTAAAAGCACATTACCTACATTTCCTGAAGTTCAAAKCAGTGGAAGTGGTTGATGTACTCTGATGATGCCACAGACTTAAGGTCTGAGTAATATTGTTCCTGTCTAGGTGACTACGTCTAGTACTGAAATAGCAGCAATTATTGTTTATATTTTACCTGCAATTGTACTGACAAGTCCCAGTCA